AAACTTGCTATCCTTCTGCCTCAGCCTCCAAGAATGCTGGAATTACAGAAATATGCCACTATGCCCATCTGTGACCTATACATCTTAATTGTGGCAGTTACTTGGACATATAAATTTGTCAAAGTTCATTGAAATGTACATTTTAAATGGGTATGTTTTTATTGTGTGCAAACTATACCTCAATAAAATTTATGTCTTTAACTTATAACTGAGAACTAAATAAAGTACAGTGATACCTCAGTAAACGAATACTTCTGTTTGTTTGCAAACTCTGAAGCGAGCGACAAACACAACCACTGCCATCTTCCCCACAAACACGCAGCCATCTTCCTCAAAATCGTAAAACAAATTAAATTCATAAACCAAGGTACCACCGTAATTTCTAAGATTTCAGCCTCTGAGACTGGCAATTATTTAATATAGTTCTCCTTTAACAATAATAAAATTGAAGCTTAGAAAATTAAATGACTTATCCTAAGTCACACAAATCTAGAAATGACTAAACTGGGTTTTGAGCCATCTTGGACTAACAATCCAGTGTGCATTCTGTTTATGTACTACTTACATAGTTTCCTGCAAATTGACTTTCCTATGTTGTGGGATGTCCCTGAATTACCTAAACTTATTTGTAGATTTTTTTGTTTTTGCAACAATATTTTTCTGAGGAAAAGATCATACTTTTCATTGGATTCTTAAAGGGTCTGGTCTCAAAAAAAAATGTTACCTCTGCTCTTAATGGTGATTTTTATGCGATTATTGTTAGTGTTTTTAAGTTAGGTAATTTTCAATAGGGAAGTCATTGGTGAATTTGCTTATCTGCCCCTGGACAACATTGCTACTTCACTGAGTTTCATTATCAGTCACAGCCTAATACAGAAATGTTTTACTAAATTGAAAATTAAAATTAAAAATCAGAGTTGTAGCACCCGAATTAGGAATTTTTACAGTTTTGTTTGTTTGTTTTGTTTTTTGAGATAGGCTCTTCTGGTTCCCAAGACTAGCCTCAAACTCCTGGGCTCAAGCAGTCCTCCTGCCTTACCCTCTTGAGTAGCTGTAACTACAGATGCATGCTACTGTGCCCAGCTAGACAGTCTTTAAGGAGAATAGGAATAAGGAGGAAATCTGACCTCTGTTATCTCTCTGTAGTTTCACTGGTTGTAAAATGAGGACAATAACTACCTTGTACTCATTAAATAAAACTATGTTTAAAAAAAAACAAACCTACAACACATTTCTCCCCTTGCCAACCCTAGCCCTTCTTTCACTTCCCATCCCCTTTTAGGAAAACATTAATTTTTAGATTCTTCTATTTTTCTGAAGGGTGTACCTGAATGAGCTTAGGAGAGTAGAGAGTAAGAAACATTTTAAGTTTTTATTTATTCCCTCTAATGAGAGTTAGGCTTTGATTTTTTTTTTTTTTTTTTTTTTTTTTTTGGTACTGGGGATAGAACTTGGGTCCTTGCACTTTCGAGGCAGGCAGCAGAACGACTGAGCTAAATCCCCGGCCCTGGTTTTGATATTTTATTTAAGGATGATGTCCAAAATATTTTACCAATTGGTAATACAAATTAACATGTATGTGCAAGGCCCTGGATTTGATCTCCAGTACCACAAATATTACCAATGATATATGAACCAATATGTAACTAGAAATGTAAAAATATTTGTCTTTCATTCTCCAAAACTAAATTCCTATTTATAAAATTGCTTGTTGCCATGCTTATACATGTGCATGTGTATATGTGTATGTGTTTTGGTGGCTGTCATTAGATAAATTATGCTCCTGTCTGAGCCATAATATGACATCAGGAATTATGTCAAACTATTTTACTAGCTTTCTCGTTGAAATGATACTTATTAAGTGCTTTGTAATCTTAATAACTAGAGAGTTTCTCTTAACATCAGTAATATTTGTGGTACTGAGTTAAACTCACAGAATAATTTTTCTGATATATTCATTATTTTGTCTAGGTTGAAGTAAATAGTTCATTAGAGGGCCGGGGATTTAGCTCAGTGGTTTCACCACCTGCTGTGCAAGCTCAAGGACCCGAGTTCAATCCCCGGTACCAAAAACACACAAACAAACAAAAATAGTTCATTAGAAAGCTTTAGATGAGCTGTAATCTGCAGACAAATAAACAGCATGAGTAAAGAGGTTAAGAGTAGTTCAGGCTGGGAATGTAGCTCAGGAGTAGGGTGCTTGCCTAGTGCATGCAAGACCCTAGATTTAATCCCTGGCACCACCCAAAAAAGGGTATGGACTGTGTTACGAGACCATCTGGGTTCAAATTCTGGCTTGCTAGTTAGGTTTTATGTAACTTCCCTGTTCCTGAGCTCTGGAAAGGGAATATGGGGGACCCTGGTGTACAGGATCATGGTATGTTAACTGGTGACTACCAGGGCAGGGTAGGGGTACCAAATGTGAGTCACAGACGATCTTGTTGGAGTTTACTTATGGTGGTATATGTTTGACAAGACTTTAGGGAAGATTGATTGAATGGGTTCTAACTAATCAGGGGTCCCTTTAGTTATTGGATTGTGATAATTGTTCCAAGAGGCTGTGGGCAGGGTTCCTAAAGCTAAATTTTAGCCTGTGTTTCCACCAGTCTTTTAAGGTGATGTACTCTAAATAGACACTTCCAAAAACAGTTTTTAAGTTGAGGGCCTATTGATCAGAGCATAAAAAGAGCAAGTGCTTCAACCTTACTGCTTTTGCTGTTGGAAGGCGGGGGGAGTTACCCTATTTTTATCATATTTTTGCTTTAGGAACCTATGATTCCTTGAGGAGCATACTAATGGGAGTTACAAAACAGCTTTTAGCAAATTACTATAAGGAAGGCTTAAGCTGCATGGTATTTCAGTCCATTTAGCTATCTTGTGGTTCATTCTCTCTGGCAAGTGAAATTATATTCATCAAGCTAAAAGCTTATACTCAAGCTTACATTTATAGAAAGCCATTTTTCAGGTTGGGCAGAGTAAATCTGAGCCCACCCTGAAGTCTGTCTTACCCTTCATTCTGTCCTTCAACAAAGCAATTCTTTTAGGCCATGATTCTGACACACTAAGATACAGTGGAGACTTGTAAGTACTACGAGAAGCTATGTAATATGGTTCGGAAAAGCATTGAATGTGCAACTTCATACCTGGGTAAGTTGAGCAGATTGATTCAACTGAGTATGAATGATCTCATCTGTAAGTGTAGATCACCCTTTTATCTACTTACCACTCTTATCCCTCATGATTTAGGGAAAATTACATGAGGAATTATTGGGCATAGGGATAGAAATCATCTTGAGTTTGTGAGAAGTTTATGGCTTAGAGGTAGCAAGCAGTTGCAATCACTTTTCTAATATGCTATTTTACTTTCCAGATAAGAATAAGGAACTTGCTGGGCATAGTGGCGCATGCCTATAATCCCAGCACTTGGGAGGCTGAGGCAGGAGGATCACCGTGAGTTTGAGGCCAGCTTGGGCTACATAGTGAGTTCAAGACCAGCTTGAACTACATAGTGAGACCCTGTCTCAAAAAAACAGAAAAAAAAAAGAATAAGGAACTTAACCAAGGTTACAAGGCTATTTGACTAGTATGAAGAATAATTGAAATGCTCAAATTTAGGGGGAATGTTGTGATTCTTCAGTAGAGTAAGGAAAGCATGTTTTATAAATCTATATAGTTCCTACATGAATAAGTAATGAATTAAGTAATGAATGCTCTGAAAGGGATGGAAGGAATGAATATATATGATTGTGTGTGTGTGTGTGTGTGTGTGTGTGTGTGTGTGTGTGTGTGTGTGGTGAAGAAAGGTAGTTTTTTTTTCTGTCTGAGAAACTATTATAGGCATATGGTTAAAAATAAGTTTAAATAAGGGCCGGGGATTTAGCTCAGTGGTTCCACTGCCTGCCTTGCAAGCACAAGGTCCCGAGTTCAATCCCCAGTACCAAAAAAAAAAAAGTTTAAATGGTAATGAACCATTAAGGCTCCAATATAGATCTCCAACCTTGGAGATAACTATTGTTAAGTTTCTTATGTGTCTTTCTAGAACCATTACATGTAAACATATAAGAATGTTTGTTTATATTAATGGGAGCATATTATATATGCTGTCCTGCACCCCTTTTTGTTTTTGTTTTTTTTGGTACCAGGGATCGAACTCGGGTCCTTGTGCTTGTGCAGCAGGCGGCAAAACCACTGAGCTAAATCCCCGGCCTTCCCTTTTTGTTTTTTATTTAGTGTCAGTACATATAGAGCTATCTCTTTTTTGAGAAGATGGGTTGTTTTTGTTTTGTGAGATAGGGTGTTGCTATGTAGTTTAGGCTAGCCTTGAACTGACTGTGTAGCCCAAGCTAGCCTTGAACTTGGGGACAGTTCTCCTGCCTCAGCCTCCAGACTGCTGAGATTACAGGCATGTACCACTATACCCAGAGCTATCTCTTTTTCTTTTTTTTTTTAATTAAAAATTTTTTTAAAGACTTATATTCTTTCTTTATTTATTTTGGGTACCAGGGATCGAACTTGGTACCTTGCGCTTGCAAGGCAGGCCGTGTAACCACTGGTGTCCACATGGTATTCCATTATAAACATGTACCAATATGTATTTAACCAGCTCCTTATTTATAAATATGTTTGTTTTCTGCTTTAAAACATTACAACCGTAAAGGTCATAGTATGTCTTCAGTACAACCCAAGGATAACTACAGGAAAAATTCCTGAACATAGAATTATTATTAAATAATGTGAAGATTGGGGATGTAGCTCAGCGGTGCCACACCTGCCTAGCAAACACAAGGTCCTGAGTTCAATTCCCGATGTCAGGAAAAAAAAAAAAGAATGTGAGTATTGATAACTGCTAAACAGGTTGAATTGGTTTACATCAAATATGTATATTTAGAAAAGCCTCTCTGATATTTATGAAAGGTACATTCCCTCTAAAGCTCTGTTGCAGGGTGAGACTTGATGTGATTATAATAAACTCACACTTACTTTCTTCTTTTCCCCTAAAGCCTGTGCCTACTGCACTGGCTCAAGTGGATAGAGAAAAAATCTATCAGTGGATCAATGAGCTATCCAGCCCTGAGACGAGGGAAAATGCTTTGCTGGAACTAAGTAAGAAGCGAGAATCTGTTCCTGACCTTGCACCCATGCTGTGGCATTCCTTCGGTACTATTGCAGCACTTTTACAGGTGGGTTTATGTCCATGAGTGCCAGTTCAGTCATCTTCACCATACAGTACTTTTTTTCCTATCTTTACTCAGGTGATTTTGAAGACTTCAGTGGGATGATTCTTTAAACATTAATATTTCTCAGAACCTATTTTAGAAAACTATAAGGGGTTTGTTAAACATGCAAGTTCTTGGATGATCTTAATTAAGCAAGTGACTCAATTTATTGAGTCTGGGGTGGGCCCTTAAGTCTGCATTTCAACAGACAAGTGATTCTGATGCACATGGTCTAAGAACCTCACTGAGAAACATGGCTTTAGGATTGCTGCAGTAGATTTATATAACAGAAGAATGTGGAGAGTAAGGTGTAAGGAACTGCAAGGTATAATCTGTCTGAGGGGGGAAGAAATGTTAAGAATAGCTGTAGGATTAAAAGTGGGGGCACTTGTGCATTAGAGAATAAATAACTGGAAATTTGATTCAGGCCAAAATGATTGTTGGTGGAAGTAAATTAAAATAGTATAATCTGAGATACCAAGATAATAGAATGATCATCCTTAATCTTATTTCCCTGCTTTCATAGTTGCCAACCAAGCTCAGACTTCTTTATGAATAACTGTGGTTGATATCATTTAAAGCAGAAATGCTGACAAAAGGAGAAATTATAAAAATACAAGGGTCCCTCTGGTGAAAGACTCAGCAGCAGCAAAATCTAAGAGGAAGTATAGGTGACCGCAGTTGGCTTCCTAGAAGCCAAGTGTGGTGGCACATACCTAGTAATTCCAGCACTCTGGGATGCCTAGACAGGAAGATGACAAATTCAAGCTCAACCTTGGCAACTTAGAAAGAACTTGGCTTAAAAATAAAAAAAGGGGGCCCAGGAATTTAGCTCAGTGGTGCTGCTGCCTGCCTCACAAGCACAAGGCTCCAAGTTCGAGCCCCAGTACCAAAAAAAAAAAAAATTAAAGAAAGGGGCTGGGGATGTAGCTTGGTGTCAAGGTCCTGGATTCAAACCTTAGTACTGCATGAGAGAAAAAGAAATATTCCTAGAGACACGTGTAGAAATGTCTTAGTCAAGTATGTTAGTCAAAGGATATGAACATTGTTTATATTTGCTCCTTTGATAATTAGTTCTTTCAGAATAAATGGAATTAAACAGGGTTTTTTAATTTGATTTTTGCTTTAGTGCTGTGGGAATTATATAACTAGTTATTCATTGTTGATCTGGTACTGGTTTTCACTTTTTAGGAAATTGTAAATATTTATCCATCTATCAACCCACCCACTTTGACAGCACACCAGTCTAACAGAGTCTGCAATGCTCTGGCATTACTGCAATGTGTGGCATCACACCCAGAAACCAGGTAAATGCTTTGGGTGAGTTGGGGGGGTATATTTAATATTGTTATAAGCTTTTGCTGAGTGGTAAGAGGAAGGGCATGCAATAGGACACATGTGTAGGTTTGGGTGAGAATCTTCAGGAATCCTAACTTTTTTTTTTTTTTTTGTACTGGGGATTGAACTTGGGACCTTGCACTTTCGAGGCAGGCGCTGGAACCACTGAGCTAAATCCCCGGCCTGGGAATCCTAACTTTTTTACCTGTTCATAGCAATGAATTTTTTTTTTTTTTTTGTACTGGGGATCAAACTCAGAACCTTAAGCTTGCGAGGCAGGTGGCAGAACCACTGAGCTAAATCCCCGGCCCAACAGTGAACTTTCAAAAAGCAATATTCACATCACAAGAGAAGTTGTATGTGTCATACAGCCACTTCTCAAGTCTGTGGTATACTATGCTGTGACTGAGACACAGTATAATCCATGGCATATAATAGCAGTTCACTAAAGTTTTGTTAAGTACTTTTTCCCACTGAACTCAGAGTTGTTTCTTCCCCCTCCTTCCCTTCTTCCTCTTCTCTTTTTTCTTTTTTTTTCCTGTTTTGAAACATGGTCTCACTCTGTAAGTCAGGCTGGGACTACTGAGTGCTGGGATTACAGACATACTCTAGCATGCCTGGTTGAACTCACCTTTGACTTTAGAATCCTTAACATAGAATTCTAGGCAGCCCTCATAGTAGATTAAAATTGGAATGCAAATTGAAGGAATTTTTTTTGAGATTCTGCCATATCTAGAGAGTTGAGAAAAGGGAAATCCTTTTCAGGAATCTGCTTTATGGGTTTTGTGCCTCTGAAGATTTATTAAAGCCTTTTCTTTCTTTATCAATTTTTTTAATGAAATCCGAGTGTTTAGTTGGCTCTTAGTTGATCTTTCAGAATTTACCTTTAAAAATTATTTCAAGCACTAATAGCTATACAAGAGTATTTTGAGTGTTAAAAATCTTAGGTGTTAGCGGGGTGTGGTGGTGCTGCCTGTAATCCCAGCCTATAATCCCAGCACTTGGGAGGCTGAGGTAGGAAGAAACTATGCTATGAGTTTTAGGCCAGCCTGCACTATATAGTGAATTCAAACCCAGCCTGAACTAATAGCAAGACCCTGTCTCAAAAAAAGAAAGAAAAAAATCTTAGGTGTTGGCTGTCCTACAAAGTATAACTATAAATAATATAAAGTAATAGACTGATTTTTGTATTAGTTGCCTGCCATATTAGCTGCAAATTGAAATGTTTTCAGAATGCTTAATATATTTGAAGTGCTCTAACAAAAGAAGAAAAATGTGCATTTAAGCATAGGAGATAAATTTGATATGGTCTGCTTTGTTTTATAACCTTGGTTTATAAGGTTTTATCTGGCTGTACCTGTCAAATTATTTAATCATAAATTAGGTGAGGGAGATAATCTAGGAGAATCTCTTAGGCATTTATTAGCGTTTTATGACCTCTTCTTTTAAAATCCAGTGGGATATTTAAGTTAGTCATTTTTTAAGGTACCTAGGTACTGATGGCAGGGAAAATCTTGTGTTCCCTTAACCACCCTGACCTAATCTAGTGTTCAATATTGGCATCGTTGACATTTTGGGCTAGATCACTGTGATGGGAAGAGGAGGGCAAGAGGGAACCATCTTATGCATTGTAAGATGTTTAGTAGTATATCTGGCCTCTCTCCACTGGATAAGAGTAGCTCCCAACATCTCTTAGTTCTGACTACCAAAAATGTCTTGTGTTCTCTAGGGGGCAACCCCACCCACTGCCACCAATTTGAGAACCATTGGCCAAGACTAAGGGTCAATAAAATTTTTTTCCTAAGGTTTCCTTACTCTAGAAGTGTTATAGGCCTTACAGAATTAAAGAATATGAATGCTCAGGATCCTTAGAAATCATATCTGTGCACTGAATATGATATAATTTTTCTTCCAGGTCAGCTTTTCTTGCAGCACATATCCCACTTTTTTTGTACCCCTTTTTGCACACTGTCAGCAAAACACGTCCCTTTGAGTATCTTCGGCTCACCAGTCTAGGAGTTATTGGTAAGTGATTAGGGTTGTTTTGCAAGCCTGAAATCCTCATTCTTAATAGTGGTCTAAGTCGGATATTTTGACTTGCTGCTTACATCTTGTTCATTTTTATGTTTGAAATTGTCTCATTCTCTAATAAATGAGTCGTAAGGAACATGATAACTCTTTTCAAGCACCATTCCAAAGGTAAGTAAGGCTATGAGGACCAAAATTTAGAATTGAGTTCAGCATGTATATAGAAACATTTGCTGAAATTATAGGGAGAGTAAAGAATAAGAACTTGATTCAACACTGTGTATTATGCAGGAGTAAGAGTTTGAATTTGCATTTCATTTCTTTCTGCTGAAAGGTGTTTCACTTCTGAGCTGTTGTCTCCTAACTTTAGAGATTCACTTTCTGTTACTTCACCTAGTTAAATTTTTCATATTCAGTGATTGTGTATACATTTACTGTGGGGATGGGACGGGCATTTAGCTCAGTGGTTCTGCTGCCTGCCTTGCAAGAACAGGGACCCAAGTTCGAACCCCAGTACCAAAAAAAAGAAGGGCTGGAGATGTAGCTCAATAAAAAGGCCCTGGTTTCATCTCCCAGTACCACCAAAAATAAAATAAAATACATTTACTATGGGGAATGTGTGAAATACTTTTTACTCAAGAGAATAATATATCATCTGTTTTACATCTCAAACTCCTGGGTGGAAAGAACAAGCTTCAGACTTATGGAATGTAATACATTCAGGATTTCTTTTCCAAATCATCCTTCCTTTCTTTAAACCTTTTTCTTTTTTTTTTGGTACCAGGGATTGAACTCAGGTCCTTCCGCTTGCAAGGCAGGCGGCGGAACCACTGAGCTAAATCCCCGGCCCCTTTAAACCTTTTTCTTAACAGTTTCTTTCTAAGATACCAAAATATAAGAATATTGATTACACAGACTTTGTTTTGTTGGATTATTGTTTTAATGTGCAACCAGTATTTGGATCCCTATGATTACAAACTGCAAATCAGGAAATACAGTTTAAAAATTTAGTATTTTAAGACACATTTCTCAAGTATATTTTACTCTGCTTTTCTTTGTTATTTATTTGTTTTGTTCTGGGTTTTTTTGTTGTTGTTTTGTGAGACAGGGTCTCACTATGTAGTACAGGCTGGTGTTGAACTCACTATGTACCTAGGCTGGCCTCAAACTCATGGCCTAAATCCTCCTGGCTCAGGCTCCCGAGTGCTAGGATTATAGGCATGTGCCACCATGCCTGGCCACTGTTCATGGTTATTTTGAGATAGGTTCTCACTGTATAGTTCAGGCTGGCCTTGAACTCACAGTGATACGTAGGCATCAGCCTCCCAAGTGCTAGAATTACAGGGGTATACCACCATGCCTGGGACGTTTACTCTACTTTTAAGGAGTGACCATTATCTTATATACTTCAAAGAATGTTAATTGCTTTTTACATCTTCCCCCAAGTAGTATCTTAATTAGAACTTTATTCCAGTACATTCTTTCATGCTTTTAAACTATCAGAATTTCTCATATAGTGTTTAAAATACCAACATAATTCCAGCAAAAGAAAACACATCCTTGAGCTGAGCATGGTGGTGCATGCCTGTAATCCCAGCACTTGGAAGGCTGAGGCATAAGGATTGAGGTCATGAGTTTGAGGCCAGCCTGGGCTACATAATGACAGCAAGGCCAGCCTGGATTACAGGATAAAACCGTGTCTCAAATCAAAAACACATCCTTAACTCTGACTTAGATCATCCCACTTTTGCTGGTTTTTTGACCACTACAGTCAGTTGATGCTTTTATAAACATTAAGATAAAAGTCAAGCTGAGGAGATAAAAAAAACCATGATATTAATTCAATTGTCTGTCCTTGCAAATATGTTCAGAAACTTGTTTCCTCCAGTTCATTGAGGGAATAAGCAGATGATTATTTGGCTCAAAATATTTTACTTACAATTTAGGTGTTGTCGTATGAGTTTGACTATAAATGGAATGATACATAAGAAAAATTAGAGGGCCAGGGATTTAGCTCAGTGGTTTCGCCGCCTGCCTTGCAAGTGCAAGGACCTGAGTTCAATCCCCAGTACCAAAAAAAAAAGAAAAATTAGAAAATATTTGAAGATGAAAATAAAATATCAAAATGTCTAGGATGTAGCTAAAGCAAGGCTTAGAGGGTAATATATAGCATGAAATACTTATACTAGAAAGTAAAGCAAGTTAAACCAAAACAAAAGACAGAGGTTATAATAAAAAGTAGGTATTTAAGGGCCAGGAATGGAGGTGTACACCTATAATCCCAGCACTCGGGAGGCTGAGGTAGGAGGATTGCCATGAATTCGAGGCCGGCCTGGGCTACATAGCAAGATCCTGTCTAAAAAAAAGAGTAGATATTTAAACTGGGCATGGTAGTTCATGCCAGAGGCTGAGGCAGGAAGATTGTGAGATCGAGGCCAGCCTGAACTACATAACAAGACCCTGTCTAAAAGAAACAACAAAAAAAAAGGGATAAAAATCAGTAAAACCAAAAAGGATATAGCTCAGTTATAGAGTGCTTATGTAGCATGCACAAGATGCCAGCACCATTTTTTTAAAAAAGGAAGAAACCAAAAGTTAATTCTTTAGGGAAAGAGTCAATAAAATTGATAAAACTAACCAGATTGACTGAGGGTGGAAAAAAAAATTACAGTTCAGAATGAATGAGTAGGGCCGGGGATTTAGCTCAGTGGTTTCACTGCCTGCTGCGAAAGCGCAAGGACCGGAGTTCCATCCCGGTACCAAAAACAAAGAAAGAAAGAATGAAAGAGTATACACTATTAAAGACTACAGACATCATAAAGGACAATAAGGGAGTACTAGTACTGCTAAGAAGTCTTCAAAAATTGATAATATATAGATGAAATGGAAAAATTCTTTAAAGTCACTGTTTACTAAATTGTACTTAAGAAGTAATACATAACCTGATTATTAATTACTTCTTTTATTGTTAACCTTCCATCATAGAAAATTCCAGGCCCAGATGGCTTTACTGGGGAATTCTACCAAATTTTTAAGGTAGAAATAAACCAATTCTCTATCTTTTACAAAGATAGAGAGGAACACTTCTCAACCCTGAGACTAACATTACTCTGATATTTTAAAAAGAAAGACAGCCAAGCATGGTGGCACATAATCCTGCATTTTAGGAGGCTGTGACACAAGGATCACATCATCAAGCCCAGCTTGGGCAACTTAGTGATTTAGTGAGACCATGTCTCAAAATAAAAAATGAAGGGCTTGCTGGATGTGGTGGCACACACCTGTCATTCCTGCCCTTGGGAGGCTGAGGCAAGAGAAGCACCCCAAGTTTGAGAGCAGCCTGGGCTACATAGTAAGTTCAACACCAGCCTGAACTATACAGCAAGACCCTGTCTCAAAAACACAAAAATAAAGGGCTGGAACTATACCTTATATGAAAGGCCCTAAGTTCAGTCCCCAGTATGGAGGGGCACGTGATTACAAAAAAGAAAATCTACAGGCTAATATCTCATGAACATAGAGGTAGAAATCTTTGGGAAAAACACTAACAAATCAGATCCAACAGTATATAAAATGAATCATTATGACCAAGTGGGATTTATTGCAGGAATATCAATCCAGTTCAGCTTTTCAGAAATCACTCAATATGATTTGGCCATATAAACAGATTAAAGAAATATCATGCCAGGTGTGGTGGTACACACCTGTGTAATCCCAGCACTTGAGAGGCTGATGCGCAAGGATCACTGTGAGTTGGAGGCTAGCCTGGACTACATAGTCCAAGACTGGCCTAAACTACACACCGAGTCCAAAGCCAGCCTGCACTACATAGCAAGACCCTGTCTCAAAAAAGAAAAAAAACTGAGCGTGATGGTATACACCTGTTGTCCCAGCATTCAGGGGAGGCTGAGTCAGGAGGATTGCCACAAGTTCAAAGCCAGCCAGGACTACAGAGGCAGTTCAAGGGCAGCCTGATCTGCATTAGCGAGACCCTATCTCAAAAAAACAAACAAAAAAAGGAAATGTCATTTCTGTAAATGAATTTTTAAAAACATTTGTCAAATTCAACATCCATTTATGATTTTAAAAAACTCAGCATATAAACCAAATTAAACGTCTCCTTAAAAAAAAAATTTCATTCTGGAAGATGGCAGAGTGGTAAACAGCAGAGAAACAGCCTGTCCGACATTTGGAGTCCAAACACTGGAATATAGCAATGTGAGGAAAAGAAGAAGGAAGGAATTGGGTCCCTGGGACCCAACAAAGATCTGAAGCCCACAAGGAGAGCGAAGAGAGAGACCAACACAGGAGAAGGAGATGACAAGGGGCACACTCACTGAGTGGGAGGGTGAATTCAAAGCTGCAGATGCACAGTGACTACTGGTGAGCCCAGAGGCCTCCGCGGAGAAACACACCAGTGGAACAGAGCAGTGGACTCAGTGGACTGCAGTGGCGGGTGAGTTATTCGGGTTCAGATGTTTCCCCAGGAGGGACAGTTGGCTGATAGCCATCTTGGAGAGAGGCAAACTGAGCTTGGAAATCAGAGCAGCTGTGGGCTGGCTCCATCTAGCAGCTCCCAGGCAGGTTGAGGCAGAACTGAGTTCAAGACAGCAGGAAGTCAAGGAACCCAGTTCAAGCCAGCAGGAGGCACACAGAGTGTTGCAGGTTAAACAAATCAGATTCCAGCCTCTCAGCTAGAAAACAGCCTGAACTTCAGTGGAACTAAAGGTGCGGGGTTGCTGGGATTATCCACTACTCATTGTAAATCTAAGGCTGGCTTGCTGGGATTAATCAACACAGATCTGGGCACTCTCTGTCTGCCGACTCTGTCTACCAGTGACAATAGAAGCATGCCCTTAAGGTAGTCATTTTTTTTTCTTCTTTTTTTGTTTATTTTTCTTTTTTCTTTCTTTCTTTTTTTTTTTTTTTGTACTGGGGATCAACCCAGGACCTTGCACACTTGCAAGGCAGGCGTGGTGCCCCTGAGCTAAATCCCC